TATATATATACACACACACACACACACACACACACATATACAAAGCAGATGTATGCACGTAAGTGAAACACCTGTGACTGTGACGATTACTATAGTTGCGTGTAGTAGTTAAATGGAACGTGGAAGGGATAACATGGCCACCGCCTGGTGACGTTCGTTAGCCATCACCGTCGCGAGTCGCGAGTCCGCGATATCAAATGGTACCGAAAAACAGCTGGTGAACAAAAATCATCGGAAGTTGGATAATTTTCGGGCGCGGGGTACGCGTATATCGATATTCAACGTACAGTGCGAGATACGATGATGAACATGTGGAAGGTGCGAGAGCTGATGGACAAGGCGTAAGTACCGTACGATTTAATCGTATAAGTCAGTTACACGCGATCTAACCTTGCTTTTACTTTTTTCGACGCATTCCACTTGGCCTGCCCCGCGATACCCCCTGTTCCCGTTCGCTCGTCCGTTAAATTTTTCCTCCAACAGGCGACAGTCATTTGATCATTACGTTGTTTAATTCGCGCGTACCCGTCTCAATGTTAATTCCACTGACGTATATTTACCTGCTCTCAGGAAATAAAACAACTTCCTACACATTTATCTTCGAATAAATTCCTCCTCTCACGTTTTCGAGTAGTCGACACGATTTATTATGTACAGGTTTCAATTCACCACTTTACAACGAATCCAGTTTTTCAGTACAGATATAGCACAGTAATTAATGGATCATTAAGCAAAAGTAACGTGACCATAAAAGGATACAAATGTCTGTTCTAAGTTACGTTTTACCTATAATAAACAAATTTCTATTCATTCAGCTGTTTATTTATTACATTTATTACAATTTTCGTACATCAATTGTATCTATAACTATCGACAATAATAGAATATTTTTAAATTGTAGTGAAATTCTTTCACTAAAGGAATCACGACAAATTACATTAATGATATATGCACATACTTACGTGTCAGTAATTATATAATAAACCTATTTTTATATAATGTATATGCATAATTTATTACGTTGTTCACGATATTTTTCGCCGAACAATACACATTATGACGTACGTACATAGGAATTGTATAGATATGTATTTATATATTTATCTTCTCCTGTATTATTTATACACTGGGACTAGTTTATGAAATGCCGGGAACATTTATTGTTTTATTCTAATAGGAACGCAAGAGGGAATGGCGATTTTTTACGATAGGAGAAACTGGAATTAGCCGATAAACCTCGCGAACAGGTTACTCGCCGCGATAAGTTAAACTGCCGGTTGGAATAACATTGCATAGTCTCCAAGGAAAGAATTTAATTCCGTCTGTAAAATACCAGTCCCTTTTTTCTTCAGCTCTAGCAAAAGGGATAGGGTTAATAAATATAATAAAGACAAGGCGAATACGTATGCGTGCGATTGTTATCAAATCTGGTTGAAATCGTTGCCTCGCGTTAAATTTATTTTGCAACGATAAGAAAAGTCAGTAATTTTATTGTTGAATTGATTTACCAGTTCTCTTGTTTTTGAGATATACATTCGTCAGATAATTGAGTGAAACTGGCATGGAAATTGGATTAATTCAATAAATATATAGTAAATATTATTCATCCTAACAATTTATCGCTTAAAATAAGTAGCATAGCTTTTTGTCACATGTTTTAAACTTTTGACAGAGTTCTTACAACGCATACGACCTTAATAGATGTAACAACAATCACATACCCGCATAATTCTTATCAACTCTCTATGAAATTTTTATCTTGCGTTAAACGAATGTATTTTTCAACGATAACGTAGAAAGTCAGTTTAGCTTGTCTAAATACTGCATCTTACCAGTTCTTTCTAAAATATATCCATCAGAAAATTGAACGAAATTGGATTTTATATGAATAGATGTTTTCATTGAAGAGTTCAATACTTAAAACAATCAGAAATCAATCAGGGAATTCCTGCATCTTTCAGTTTTTTATTAATAGATTAAGGATGATCATGTAAATTTTATGACATAGAATTAAAGAAATGGAATTATAAACATTTATTTTCTCCTTTAATTATAGAGAAATAAATTTATATCATCTTATGAAGACTGTTCATTTATTAATTGATTCAGTAACTAATTTACTATTATTTACATTTGATTATAAAAGCAATAACTGTTTTTAAGCATCGGTCATTTTGACAATAAGTGAATAAGAAGTTTATTGTTAAATTATTTTAAATTCCCCTAAATGCATAAATATCTGCATTCTATTTATTAGTTAAAACGTCATAAGTTCTGAAAAAACATAGTCGAATGCTGATATAATCTCACGCACGTGTTTTTATTATCTACTTTTCCCACCGGTTTTTAAGATTAATAAAAATTACTTAGCATATTACTTCCTATCTGTTTTCCATTGGCTCGAGGAAATAAATACACGAGTCAAGTTGTACGACGATGATAGTAACGTGTGTACGTGATCTCCTCACGGTTTGTGGAAATTGAGAAGCGGAAGGGCATCATTATCTCCAACAACGATTTCTGAATACAAATACCTGTAACATACATAAGCTAAGATTTCCAATTTTATGATTCTCATGCACAGCAATACTCGAAGGCGAATCATTCTACTAGCTTTTATACAATCCCTATACATAATGTAATTCATATTATTTTAAACACATAATGACACAGTCATGTATATCTACTGTATACATACATGCCACAATGTAATTTGCTTTTCTTCCTAATTCATTTATGTAGACATGGAATAAAAGTAATAAAGAAATAATGATAATAAGTCAATGGTTAAACAGTAAAAGGATTGGACTAGCAATTGTATTAGATTGAACTACAGTTTATTATTTTATTATTATTTATTAAAACAGTTATATTAGTCAATTAGAAAATGGTCTTTAAATGAAGATGTGTTTTATTATATAAGCAGTACAATATTCACTTTTGATGCTACGTATATTTTCATGCAGTAGACGTAACGTTTCTCTTTCTTGAATATTCAATTCTTTTATAAATAGATAGAATCTGCAATTAACGTACTAATTGGTCGTATCATTCTGACCTAACACAGGATTTCAATAAGCAAATTGCAAGTGTTTATGCAAAATAAAGACAATTATGTTAATCAATTAGAAAATGATCTTTGAGTAAGCATATATTTTATTCACTTTTGATGCTTTGTATATTTTCT